AAACCTTTGGACCCATATTGGTGATCCTTGGTGTGCTGGTGACATTTTTCCTTGCCGAGACTAGAGAAGGCCACCATGGGAGAGGGAAGCAGTGTCAGATTCCTTAAGCCAGGTTTCAGTAATGGCAAGTAGGTTAAAGGAATTTGTGATAAAGAGGTTGTGGAGAGAGGCGAGTTTGTTACAGACAGAGGAAGCAGGAAAAGGAGAAGGTGGTTTTGGAAAGAAGAGGAATGGAGACTAAGTTCTGTGGATTGCCGGTGCTGCCAGAGGGAATGGAGTGATGGGAGCATTGGGCACCGTAAATGATGGAGGCCCAGGGTTTGGGTATATTTATCTCCAGAGGCTAGGAGAAGCAAAAGGGTATGCATATTTGCGTACGCTTGCTGCCAAATAGTTAACCACTTCCTGCCAGCCCTATAGCAGTTTTACTGCTACAGGATGGCTGCTCTGTACATTTCTGCGTAGGGTGCACGCCGCCCTACCGATGCTGTCATTGTCTCCTCAAGATATCAATCATGGGTCCTGCCCAGCGATTCATGGCTGGGACTTGGAGATCAGCGGAGCAGCTGACAGGGATGAGATCTGTAAATGTAAAAAACACACATAATTACACTCCCTATCACACAGTTAACCCTTTGATCACCCCAGATGTTAACGCCTTTCTTCCCAGTTTTATTAGTACAGTGTCAGTGCTTTTTTTTTTTAGCACTGATTACTGTATTAGTGTAACAGGAGCGGTCAGTGGCAGTTAGTCAGTTCCCACCTAGTGTCAGAATTGCCCACCGCAGTCCTGCTATAATGATGTGGGACAGGGGCCCCTGTACTGCAAGTGATGCACAAACTCAGCCCTGCGTCACTGTCAGGGATCCCCTCGATCCCCGCCGCGATGGTCCCGGCGCAGGCGCACTGCACCGCCCTGTGTAGGGACACGGGCACTAGGTCCGGGCCGGCCGCGGCGTTCGAGTTCAGGCATGCGCAGTAGAAGCCGCAGCCGCCCGCTGGGCACCAATGGCAGCGCAGGGCGGGATATTTAAATGTCCCTGAGCTGTCATTTCGGTGCCTTCTGGTCTTACCTGTTCCCTGTGTATCTGAACCTGTGCTAGTAAGTTATTTGACCCGGATTGTTCTTGACCTGCTGATTTCTCCTGCCCAGACCCTTGCTTTGCCTGACCTCTCTTCCTGGATGCCCCTCATTAGATTTGACCTACTGTTGCTGACCTGGCGTGTGACCCGACGATTCTCTGCCCGCTCCCTTGTACCTTACCGTCCTCTACGTTACCAACTCAGCCTGTCTGACTTCGCACTTGCTCAGCCATCCATCCCATCGGGGTCACCCGACCTCCTCACATCTGGCTCTCCCTGGTTGGAGCCCCTGGCGAACACCCCTACCACTGACAGGTGTGCTCAGTAGTGGCGACCTGGTCCCGGGGTACAAGTCCATCCCCACCATCAGGGGCTCTGGTGAACAAGTACCCTGGGGCTTAGACTCCGCGCTCTGGGCACGCCTGACCAGTGGAGTGCTAGTGGTGCCACTCGGCGGTCCCTCACAGTCACTTCCCGGACAGACATCAGTGCGCTCCATCCCGGAGCGCACCCACCAGCAAGCAAACAGATAAAGGAACCAAAACAATTTATAACGAGGGACATTCAAAATACAGAGCCCACCCAAACTAAAATAGCAGGGGAAAGCGAAAGGTCTAGCTGAAATACAACCGGATCAAAAAAGGAAGAACGGAATATAAATAAATTTAAGACTAGGATCTTATGAACAGAGTCCTGTAGGCCACTAAATTTATAGGTACCTAGTATGAAAAAGAGCACCTGGCTGTCTGGGGGACTGCTTGAACCACTACAACAAAATTTACCTGTAAGTGCTCACAAAGATAATGTCTGATTCTGCGGTTTTGTGTGCAATGTATCAAGTGACAGTGATCGACATATGGTTATATTTCAAGCAAAATTACTCATTTTATGTCTTTTACTATGTTTATGTGATACATGTACATAGTAACAATAAAATACTGTTTTTATGTACTGATATTCATTTTTGTTTTATACCTCAGAAGGTACATTTATAGTTCCAAAATTAAGTGTTGTGGTTCTATTAAAACTGTGACAGGTAGCGGCAAGAAGATCCCCCGCTAGCTATCACAAGGAGCGGGGGGCCATTCCGTTCATAACATGTTACACCGTGAATATGGGTGTAACATGTTATGAAAGGTGAACTTATCCTTTAATGAGATCTAGACTAAAGCATGGCTGCCCAACCTGTGGCCCTCCAGCTGTTGTGGAACTACAAGTTCCATGAGGCATTGCAAGGTTGACAGCTACAAGTATGTTCCGCAACTGGAGGGCCACAGGTTGGGCACTCATGATCTAGACCAGGGGTCTCCAAACTTTAGAAACAAAGGTTCAATTTACTGCCATTCAAACTTTAGGGGACCCAGACTGTCGCCAGTGGGAGTAAAAAAAAGGCCCTGGCATCACTGGGAATTAGTTCCCAATTTCTGGTATCAGTGGGAGGAACACTGCCCCATTGCTGGTGTCAATGGAACAGCGCCATCACTGGGGACAGTGGGAGGAACAGCGCTCCGTCGCTGGGGTCACTGGGAGGAACAGCACCCTGTTGATGGGAGGAACAGCTCCCCATCATTGATATCAGTGGGAGGAATAGCACCCAATTGTTGGGGTCAATGGGAGGAATACTGCCCTGTCATTGGGAGGAAAAGTGCCCCCTCGTTGAGGTCAGTGGGAGGAACAGCGCCTCATCGTTGGGGTCAGTGGGAGCAGCATCCCATCGTTGGGGTCAGTGGGAGGAGCAGCGCCCCATTGATGGGAGGAACAGCGCCCCATCATTGGTATCAGTGGGAGGAATAGCGCCCAATTGTTGGGGTCAATGGGAGAAATAGCGCCCAATTGTTGGGGTCAATGGGAGGAATAGCGCCCAATTGTTGGGGTCAATGGGAGGAATAGCGCCCAATTGTTGGGGGAATCAATGGGGGTCAGAAATAGCGCACAATTGTTGGGGTCAATGGGAGAAATAGCGCACAATTGTTGGGGTCAATGGGAGGAATACTGCTGCCATTGGGAGGAACAGCGTTGAGGTCAGTGGGAGGAATAGCGCACAGTCGTTGGGGGTCACTGGGAGGAATAGCGCACAGTCGTTGGGGGTCACTGGGAGGAATAGCGCACAGTCGTTGGGGGTCACTGGGAGGAATAGCGCACAGTCGTTGGGGTCACTGGGAGGAATAGCGCACAGTCGTTGGGGTCACTGGGAGGAACACTGCCCCGTCGCTGGTGTCAGTGGAAGAACACTGCCCCATCGCTGATATCAGTGGAAGGAACAGCGCCCCGTCGCTGGGGTCGCTGGGGTCAGTGGGAGGAACAGCGCCCCGTCGCTGGGGTCAGTGGGAGGAACAGCGCCCCGTCGCTGCAGTGGGGAACAGCGCCCTGGGGGGTCAGGGGAACAGCGCCCCATCGATGGGAGGAACAGTGTCCTCTCGTTGGTGTCAGTGGGAGGAATAGTGCCCAATTGTTGGGGTCAGTGGGAGGAATAGCGCCCAATTGTTGGGGTCAGTGGGAGGAATAGCGCCCAATTGTTGGGGTCAGTGGGAGGAATAGCGCCCAATTGTTGGGGTCAGTGGGAGGAATAGTGCCCTGTCATTGGGAGGAA